AAAATATACAAGGTAGTGAAGAAAGAACCTAGTTGCATTTCATTACATTTATTGTCATCATTAAAAGTCCCAACATTCAAATGAAGTATCTAAATTTCTATCTCTGAGAACTCAGAACTCATTTCTAACCAATTTACTGCATTGTTATAATACACCTGCCCCAAGTACCTCAAAATTCAGAGCAACTTTTATGCAGTGGGTTAATGAAAACTAAAACAGAGAAATCAGTTAAAAGTCTGTGCCAAACACCAGTCATTCAAGAATGAAAGAATATTGTGAAGAAAACTGTGAAAGTGAGAATGAACTTTAGGGGTGAATTTTGGAGACCAACACAGGATAAAATAATAGAGCTTGGTAATATAGTCAATTCGACATAAAGGAGAGGAATAAATTTGGTGTAGTTACAGTGGCCTAAATGCATAGCTGACATGATTTTTAAAAATCCCAAAACACTTAATTGAATAATAATCTAAGTTAACTAGCAATCTAGCTCATATTAAGGCAGCCTATGTGTCTTGTACAACTCAGCAAATACTCTTTCTTCACATCTTCAACAATTGTGGTAAAGACAAAAAGGAATCTTTAAAAACGTAAAGCTCTGGTAAGACTAAAGAAATTTTTATCTGCAGGGACTAAGGCGTGGTGAAGATCCCAAAAGCAATATTGCAAAAGCCTGAACTTATTTATAAGAAGTCAGAGGGAAAAAAAAACCACACCAAATCCAGTATCTAATTGTATCTTGAATTTGTATTCTGTTATTTCATAAATGTTTGATTTTTACATCATCATCATCATACTCCAAATGCATTAGTATTGTTGGCCCAGTTCCTAGACCAAAAGAAAGGGGGAGAGGAAGTAGTATCAGATTAATTTGTAATCAGTATCTGATTCAAGACAAACAATTCATATTACAGCATTGGCTACACTAACTAGAACACTGTTGAAGTTCTCCAGGTACTTTCATGAGTGTTGGCTTTCTTCAATTGTGGTCAAGGTATCCTAAAATGACTTCTGCTTTAAAATGTCTCAAACCAAAACAAGACATTTTCCTACATAATATCTGGAGAAAGTTACATCAACCTCTAAAAATCAGAAAATATAATCACTAACCCTAAAAACTCTAAAAAGACCACTGAGATTGTTTGCTACATATTACAAAATTGTATGAGTAATATATCACCTCTACCTGATTGCCTCTATCAAGGAATTATGAGAAAATAATGAAGTTATGGCTAGATATGAAATATGAGTTATCAGTTTCCTCTGGACCTGACTTTAAATAACAAAGTTTATGAATTTTTACAAACTTGACAAAATCAAGCACAGATTCATACTGCATTAGTCTAGGAAAATTTCCAAATTTGCAAGTACAATGGGCACTCAAGCTCACTTTCAAATTGCAATTTTAAAATTTTCATGACAACCTAATAATATCACAGACCACTACATTGTCAAGAACCATTAATTTTATGTTGAAAAGTTTAGTTATTACTCTGGCTTTAAACTCATAGTATTGGGTTACCCCTTAATTTTAAAAGTTGTGAAATTAACTCTAGAGCAAAGGAGAAATGTGGGAAAAATTAAAAATTTTAATTGTAGCTCTTTTTGGCTCACATACAGAATTCTCATAAGAATCCATCACTTTAGGAATCTGGTTCCATCATCAATTTCCTTAATCATTTGTTGAAAGTTGTTGATTCCCAATTTAGGACCTCAGAGCCTTAAAAAATATTTTTCCTTCTCAAATGGTAGAGGGGACTCAGTGATTAAAAGTTCAGATTATAGAATCAGATTGTCTGGGATCTTGGACAAAGCTCAAATACCTCTCTTTGCCCTGGTCTCCCTTCCAAATAGGGTTGTCATAGAAATAGGGTATTGTGGAAATGATAAGGTGCTTTGAAAGCGGGTTTGGTATGTGGTAAACGTAGCTATTAATCCAATCGTTTTCTGTGGTGCCGCAGATTCCACAGTACCTTGAAGCTACTATCTCCCTACGTTTGAAAAGCTTGAACATATTCCAATCCTAAGTTCCAAGGACCAGTAAGAATTTGTAAAAATCGCAGTGATTCTGGACTGAGATGGAGTGTAAGTACTTGCTATTTCTCCCTTGAGGACAAATAAAAACTCTGGACACCATCTACAAAACACGCACAGAAGACCATGGGACGTGCAAAGGACCTTGGGGAACGATATGGGTATAAGTTCCCTAAATTTTCTTTCTGCCTCATACATTCTGGACTGAGTCAGCTTTATCTTCAATACACTCAGGAAACTAATATGAAAATGAGAAATATATAGTGCATATTGTGGCTGTAGATTTCAGCCTTTGTAGACTTAATCACTTGCTGTTTGTGAACCTCCTGCTCACTCCAATTCATTTTCTCTTTTTTTGACTCCTCAGGAAGATGGTTTCTCTTAATTAACTAATTTTTGTTTGTCTTTTCATTTTCTTTTTTTTAATTTATCTTTATTATTGAGAGTATTACAGATGTCCCCTTTTATTCCTCCATTAATCCTTTCTCCCCCGAGCTCACCCCACCCCTAGGACTTCACTGCACTACTGTGTCCACGGTTATGCATATAAGTTCTTTGGTTAATCTCTTCCCACCTCCCACACCCCTTCCCTCTGAAATACATCCGTTGCATGCTTCAATGTCTCTGGGTCTATTTTGCTCCCCAGTTTCTTTTGTTCATTGGATTCTACATGTAAGTGAGGGCATGTGATACCTGTCTTTCTCTGACTGGCTTATTTCACCTAGCATAATACTCTCCAGGTCCCTCCATGATGCCTCAGGGGTTCAGAGATCCTTCTTTTTTACAAGTGCATAGTATTCTATTGAATAAATGTACCACAGTTCTTTTATCCACTCATCTACTCAACTTAAACCCTTCTCACTGTCAAACTGCAAACTAATGAATCTGACTTGTTTGTGTTGCTTTCATTTCTGGTTTTGTTTTCCTTTTCCCCACATGGGTGAACAGTGTTCTAGTTGTAACATCTTAGATCCCAATAAACATTGTTTACAGCTATTGTTTAAACCCAGCCCAAGAGAAGTTACCTTACTGTCACTGTAAGATCCTTCTGTCAATCATTCCCCTTCCTACTCAGGCATCTGCATTTAGGACTTAATTATTCAGTGCAGATTTCACTATGCATGGATTAATCTCTTTCCAACACATACCAAGAACCCACCTCAACTTTCATTCATTGTTCTAATTTCTCCTGTTTTATCTGTGGTCCTTTACAAATAAAAATGATCAATATTTGGCTTTATACTAAACCTATATAAACAATCTACGACTTACTAAGGTACACTCCTTCACTATCCCATTACACTCTTATCTAGTTCATAAAGCCTCTGTCATACTTAAACTTGACCTTTGCTCTTCCTCCACCTACTGTATGTAGGTATGTGTGTACCTGTATGAGTATATGTGTATGTATATCTACTAAATAAACTTTTATAATATAAATAATTCCTTTGTACACTATGCCTTATCTTGTGTTCCCTAATTATTTCATGTGTTTAAGTCTTGTCCACCAAACAAAATCACAACCTTATTGAGAGCAACTAAATCATATTCTTATAATTTTTGTTCCATAATAAATATCATGTGCTAAATATGAAGCATGTATTAATTTGCTCATTCGACACATGACAATTGAAGCCCTACTAGTTAATGTGCTGAGGGCTGGGGATAAAGAGGAAAACAGAAGGCAGTGTCTATCCAGAAGGGGTTTACAGAGCACTCTAAGAGAGCCAAGGAAACATTTTAAAGTTTATATGGACAATCAAACCAGAGATGTATTCAAGGCTTATAGAAGGAAAGAAAGGAAGTGTCTACCTCTGCCAGGGAAAGAATGATAAAGAAAAAATATTTTCTTTAATCATGAAGGATAAGTAAAAATTTTCCAAGTAAACAATAAGTAGGAATGGCATTCAAGAAACGGAACAGAAAGTGCCAAGGAACAAAACCATGAACGAATGAGCAAGCAAATGAACTGAGAAACTATAGAAAACTCATAGGCTATGAGTACAGGTATAGAAAGGATAGAGCCAAGTGACAAGATTAGAATGGCAGGCAAGGATGAGATGAAGCTGAAGGACATAATCTTGGAGGCATCCAAGGACATATATGCCAAAGGACATAATCCTGGAAGCATCGACTGTCAATGAAGGTAGAGTGGTCGGATCAGATATCCTTTCTGCTAACAAAATGGTGGACAATTTGGAAAGGAGAAAAGTGGATAGATATTAAGAAACTATTTTAGAGTATAACTGAGAAATGATAAGGATCTGAACTAAGGGATTCGAGGAATGGAACCATAATCATTGAAAGCATAGACGTGGGTGAATACAATTAAACTGAGTGAGTAGAGAGAAGAGCCAAAGAAAAGACTGAACAACATCAACATATAACATGAATTTTTACTGAAAATCAAATCCATTCTTAGTTCGAGAATAAATGAAATATTTTTTCTACCTTTAAAACTGCAGTTCCCAATGAAAAAACAAGAAGAAACAGGTCAAGAATAACTTTAAAGCCTAAACTGGAAACTATGTTTATCTATCTACTGATCTTGGACTGTCTTTCAAACACTAAATGTTCCAATGTTCATCTCCCCTGCCCACCCCCAACCTGTCAAAGGGCTGCAAACATACCTGTTCGCCAGGTTTTCTTTTAAAAATGGATACAAATAACATTCACTTGCGGGCAGTACCTGAAGTCCACAGTCACTCTTTTCACTTGGCCTCTATGCCATTTGACTTCTTGCCTTCACCAGTACCACCCCCTTCACACACACCCCCCCCACGGGAATTCAAATGACTTTGTTAACACCTTAACTAACATGTATGTGGCCTCGATAGACATATGGTGAATTGTCTCAACATAAGCTGATACACAAAATCAATTTATGGTCTTTCCCTTAATATCAATGGTTTAATTTCTAAGAGGTGTACTATCAGGCCAAGTCTGACTTGATTTAGAATACCAACCAGATAAATATGCCGCTGATATTTATAGCATACAATGCTCTTGATGATTCATGCAAGGTACACCCACTTCCGATACATTCACTCTCTTGACCACGCTGAAACCTGCAAAATAAAAGAAATAATATATAACTACAAAAACTGTCCATGTGAGGCTCACTTCACATTTCCATAAAAACAAAACAAAAATGCACACACCTAAATCTTTTACTCCACTACTGGAGGCAACATAACTTTAGAAAGACAAAGCAATTTCCCCTGAAATCATATGCCAATATTTATTTATTCTGTTCATTTAGCTAGTGTCCTCTGAGCATCAGCTCTGAGCGTTATGGACTCTGAGTATGTCCATGCAGCACACCTGTACTGAGAAGTGCATGAAAATCTTGTATATGCCGCCTTCAGGTGAACTGACTGCCAATAAGTGAATGAGGACCGCCTCTACCCAAAGGCTACCATCGCATCCTTTAGTTCTCAGGTCTAATATAGCCTTCCTGAAAGCTATTCCCTAATGCCATGGCTAACATAACATCTCACACACATTCCAGTCGCTCTCTGTCCCTTTACCCTGTTCCACTGTCTGCATCACAGCAGCCTTGTCTTGAGTTCTATTGTTATTCTTTGTGTTTACAGTAGTCCTCCCCTTATCCACAGGGGATATGTTCCAAGATGCCCCCCAGGGGGTGCATATATAATACTATGATTTTTCCTATACAAATATACCCATGAAAAAGTTTAATTTATAAATTAAGAGATTAACAACAATAACTAATAATAAAATAGGTCAATTGTAACAGTATGCCAAAATAAAAGTTAGATGATAACTGAGATGGCAACTCAGTAAGGAAGGGGCGGGTAGTGTGGCTCCTCTGGACAAAGGGATGATTCGCATCCCAACAGGGATGCAGCGGGACAGCAAAATATTTCATCACCATACTCAGAACAGCACTCAATTTAAAATTATAAATTATTTCTTTCTGGAACTTTCCATTAAATATTTTTAGACTGTGGTTGACTGCAGATAGCTGAAATCATGCAAAGTGAAACCTCGAATAAGGGGTAACCACTGTACTCTGTGTGACTTCCACTATTGGACCATCAGCTGCAGCAGAGCTGGGAACAGTCATTCTTGTTCACCGCTTTATCCGCGGTGCCTACCACAGTGCCTGCCGTTTGCTCCGCAGACATTTGGTGGTCTAATGAATGCTTCCAAATTCACAAATTCCGTTCTAAATAAAATCCTAACAGGAAAGCATTTATTTGTTACCTCTCTGTGGGTTCTCAAGATCCAGAGAGAAGCATAACCCATAGCTTGACAAACTAATATGAATAGATTTATTCAATTGAGCTTGTATCCAGTGCCCTGGATTCAGTGGCAGTCGAATGTTAACTGCCCTTGAAGTATATTTAAACTGTCTCCAACATGAAGGAGAAGTGAGAAAAGGAACATAAGAGGAAATAAAACTAATCTTCTTACTGAAAGGAACATGAATACCACAGTCAGGAATTCATAATGCAAACACTTTTTAAAATGTCATTCAAGCTTCAAGTTCCTATTTGTTCCTACGAGTTACTGTGGTTGTGAGGGCATCCTCCCTTAGAAGAGGTAATTCAGAACCTGTGGTATTCTCTATAATTAGGCTCCTCTGGAGGTCAGCTGCACATTTGGGTTAAATAACGTGAGGGTTCTGTGTAGCACTGCTATAAAATGTCAGAGAAGAAAACAAACAAAAAGGCACACAGAATCTTGCAGTATCATACTTTCAAAAACATGTGATGGAATAAAGTTCCATTTTCAAAATCTATTTTCTTAAAGAACCCAGTATTAATTGCATGTTGATGTATAAAGCACACAAAGTTGCATTTCTCTACTTTGGATACCAGACTCTCAGTTCCTTGAGTATAGCCCATTGTACGAAATCCCCAGGTCAGGGGTGCAGTAGACAAATTAATTAGTCTATTAAGTCTCAGTCGTATCCTGGCACTGATGTTTAGGTTAGCACCTTCGGCAACAAGTTCCTAATGCTTAACTATGCTGCCATTTGTTCCTCAGAGAAATTAGGAATGAAGGGAAATAAAGAAAACACGGCTGGGACAAGTTCCCACTGACCTAAAGGCAGAAACACGCACGTGAGTCAGGGGTAGATTGGTGTATTCATAACAAGGAGAAAAACTCCGGTTGATTAGTTCTTGCTATTTTAAGTGATTAGGAGAAAAATAAATGGCTTCATATCTAAGGGAAATTTAAATGGCATTTAACACTCTACAAAATCAACCTAAAAAAAGATGATAATTTGCTATGACTTAGCACTAAAGAGAAACCAATGATCTCATATGACGAATCTCTGAAGCGCTTCGTGGGAAGATTAAACACTTTGGACTGCATGTTTGTGAATATTACAAATGACTGAAATGAATGAACCGAATCGCATATTTGAAAAAACAGACATGTGAGAATGTGTGAGCAGGCACACACGTGCACACACACGCCCACACACACACCCCCACAGAAGGGAAGAGAAAGGGGAGGGAGAAAGAGAACTATGGCTTATCTTTTATCTTATAGCCATTAGCTACTTGCAGGGTGTTTCTAAAAGAACCAAATACCATACATAGTTCAAAATTCAACAAAAGAAAAATTTGTTTATTATCATACAAGACAACAGAACACCTATGCATTGGGCAGGAATTTTCTTTTCTCTTTAAATTTTTCCTTCTCTTTTGTTCAGTGGGGCCATGGTACAGTGAAATGTTTTTATAGCATCAATGACCCAGAAGAGTGTAAGAGATCAGGTAGGCTCTAAGAGCTGTTTATGCATAAGAATTGGGTGTTGAGATGTCAAGAACAATAATGAGAGATGAATAACTCGGTGTACAATGACACCATCTGTCATAACAAATATCTGTTACATACTAGGCAACTGCACTATGCTACAATGGTGATACACCCACACTAAAATGATGTTCAAGTCCAGGCCATTTAAACTCCATCTAGAATTCTGGATGACTGAAAAGACGACCGCAGTGATTATGTCTTACATTTGTTACTATTGTTTGGCTAATTTTCTCCAAACTCAGTGCCATTAAATTGAGGATTATTAAAATATAATTACATTTACTGGGCTTTTACTTCAGAAAAAAATCTGATATACTGACATAGAAAAAATTAGATAAGATACTAATTTAATATCATTTATAATAGCAAAAAACTGAAACAATGTAAATGCCCAACAATAAGGAGATAGTTAAATAAATGATCATGTAATAAAATATTAAGAAGTCATTAAATGCCATGCTTTCAGGGAATGTTGAATTCCAGGAATCCCTAGGTTATGGCAGGCACAAAATAAAGAATTGTTAAATGAATAAACCACAATGCAGTTTAGGAAATCATGTGCATATTTGATTCAAATTTTAATACCAATATTCACATTATATTAAAATGTATTATATAGATTTTGTATGTAAGATGCACACTCATACGAAAGAAGAAAGAAGACACCAAAGTGTATACAGAGGTTACTTTGGGCAGTAGAACTATATTCTACACATATTGCCTTTACAATTAGAATTGAAGCGGTTGTAGCCACTTCAATAATTTGAGTCCAGGAGTCCAGTGATGCTTCTTGTATAATCAGCAGTGGAATAAAGGATGAATTAGAACCTTCTAGGTGACATTCTCACCACTTGCTCAGACCTCACTCTAACCAGGTCCAGCAAACTTGATAACCTCCAATATCTTTGCCCCAGGTCTGATTAATCCCTATTCTTAAACTGTTTCCTCTTAATATGTGCATAAATAAAATGCCTACTTATCTGAGAGATGTACAAATACACAATATTTATCTATCTGTGGCTCTAGAATTTTGTCTTCTGAGGCCAAAACAGGGGTGTGTGTGTAGATGTATTTGACAAACTCATTTATTTATGATAAACTGCCCTCAACCTTCTTCACATATGGCAATGCGTATTTTTCCATCTCTGCTACAAAGAATCCCATCCTTCTGATTAACAGTTCAATTTCCCTCCCCCAAAAAATATCATTTTGAAAGGGAGTTGTTTTCAACATTGCCAACTTTTTTTAACTGTATAAAAGATACAGTTACTCCCCAGATTCTACTTCTCAGATACAAATTATTGTATAGGCAAAGTACATTCCAACTCATCTATAGGCAACGTTTTTTGTACCATCATCTATGTCCCTTAAACAGCTCTCTGTGTAGTTTTCTTTCCATCACTACGAAATCAAAACAAATAGCACTTTTTTGTGCTGTATTTGTGTGGTTACTATGGTGGTGATCTGGATTTTACACCTAGGATAATCCTATTTGGGGTGGGAAAGAAAAGTATGGAACCAAAAGAATGAAGTAAGTTAGGGGAATGGTCAGCACCTTTAAACATTTACTTTTCCCCTGGAACAGCCTTTGGCCAAGATCTATAAAACTCTGCCCTGAGTCTTCAGTTTCCTGGAATGAAGGGACTTAGCATTATGATGAGAACACCATGACCCTGGCAAAATCAGCAACCCTTCCCCTTGCTCTTAGGAAGCATTAAAATTCGGTTTCTCGCTGTTCCCCAAATTCCCACCTCCCACTTCCCCCAATCCTAGTCAGGCCCTGGCCCAAAGGTTCTAATGACCAGACATGGAAATGCCATGGGCTGACCGCGAGTGATGGAAAACAAAGGAGACAGGACACCTTGCTCACGTCGCACCTTAACTGTACAGCTCTCCCCCAAATCTCTGAGGATGTCACTGTAGGTGACTCATGGTAACAGCAGTTAATGAAAGAAATGTTGTACATTTTCTGTTTTCATGGGTTTCCTGATTGTCAACAAAATGATTTCCTCGAATATTTGCATCAAGTGAACCAATGGTTTCCAAAGTATTTTAGAAGTCCCCCCCCACTCTTAAATAATATCCTTAATAAAAAAACAAAACACCTCCAATAGACAACATAAAAACAGCGGATATGATTGAAGAGGGGAAGATGCAAGGCAGGGCCACAGAGCTCTACCAACAGCCTGCCTACCTACTCCTTGGCTTCCTCACAAGGTTCCTTAAACATCCTTCAGAATTCTAGGGCTCTGGAATCATGACTTGAAAAC